TTCCAGTTTGTCTAAATCTCTGGCAGCAAACAAAATTGCAGTGCATAAAACAGCTGATAGTTTTGAAAGGGACTTGGGAAATTCACAATACTGTGGTCAGAGGAGAAAATAACATGGGAGATTTTGAAGAAAGTAACCTTTGTGCTTCCAGTTAAAGGTGAAACTGTAATTGCTCAGATTTCACTTTTAATGAGAGCTTATCACCAGCTTCTCATTCTTCCTACTGGCATTTCTGTGTCACATAACCAGTCTTGGCTACCACACTAAATGAAGGACAAATGTAACCTAATCACTGTAAAAAAATGCTTTATTTTACTGATTTCCTTAGAGGAATATAAATCCAAATTTCTTTTATATATTTTATAACTAGAGAAATATTATGGCATTATGATTCCCAACAGCTTTGTGTCTCCTGTCTGACTAATATCTGCCTACAGGGGCCTCTGAACAAAGTTTCTTATAAACTGTGAATTTACAATAAACAGAGTTCAATATAAAATATAAGAAAGGATAAGGAGAATTTATAAAGGCAAAAATGTAAAATTCAATAGAATGAGTTCTCCCAAAGATAACTATGGAGCTCCAGTCACAGCTGTAACAACTGCTGCATATCAAGTCATAATTTTTTTTCATTAATAGGAAATTCCTGATTTGATATTCCATTTTCTAGCTTCTGTACCTAACTTCCATGGTTATCAGGAGAGTCACACTGTCACTTACAATCTCATAGTTTTCTTAAGGGGAAAGGAGTTAAAGGATTTGCCTAGAATTAATATTTGGATGGAAAAAAAGAAAAAGTATCAGTTATTTGAGCAGGTTTTCTCCTCTGTTTCTGAGTTTAGCAAAACAATGTCACAGCAGAAACTTAGGTAGGTTCTCTTCACTGTGAAAAAGAAATAAGAGAGGAGGGGGGAAGAGAGGAAAAAAAACTAAACAAGAAAACGAGAAAAAAAAAGCAGAAACAGAGAGACAGGACAGAAAGCAAGCAGAAAACAATTTCCCTTCTTTAGTTTTTAAGTAGTTGTTTTAGACGATGGGGTAATCTTCCTCAGTCCTTGGAAACACCTTGTGTTCCTTTTTTGGCTACTTAGAGCTTTGAGCACAGTTCATGGGTGACTGCAGAGGCAGGTGACAGCTAAGAGGTAGGAGCTGACAGGTAACAGCTAACTCATGACAAACAATTTTTCCAGGTGCTATGACTTACAAAATTGAGTTGCACTCTGGATTTGTACTAATGCATCATTTGATTGTCTCTATAAAACTGTTTCCCCTGTAGAAGCAGTAGTCCTTTGTAATTCGTATGTAATCATTAAAAATTGAAATCTCGCTATCACACAGGGTCTTGCAGGTTCTTCATGTTCCTTAGGTGGAAAAACATTTCCTCTAGAATGAAAATCATCCTTTTTCATTGAGACTTTCTGCTTGAAGGCTCTTTCTTGCTATCATTAGGTAGGGATGAGCTAGAGCAAAATCCTGTAAATCAGACTTCTCAAGTCTAGTTCTTGCTCTGCTTTGAGTCACGTCACTTGTGCTCCCCACAGAACTACACTGTGATGCATAACTTGCTTAACATCCTGATCGGGGAGCAGGAGGCTTTGATGAGGTCCTGGTGAGGCTTTGATGAGGTCCTGGCGAGTGCTGACTGCAGGGAGACCCTCTAATAAAAGGATCTGTAGAAATTCAGAGCCATAGCAGTACAAAAATGGACTGTTTAGTTACAGAGATTCACTGTAAGAGAAACAAAAATCTAGCACTCTCTTTCTTTCTGAATTTTCCAGGTCATGATTGTTCGCTTCTTTGCCCTATTTTTAGAAGATGAAGATGAAAAGAAGGTCCTGCCAGGAGATAAGATAAACTTGCTTTGAGATAAGAAGTACTTAAAAAATGAAGTAGCTGAACTTTTGCTGTGCACATTTAGGGTATGCTCTTACCAAAGATAACCAACCTGACAGTGCCATATGGTAGAAAACTTTACTGTCTTGAAACTGTCTCTCCTATATACTCAAATTAGATGACAATTACTTGACTCAGTAATGGATTTCCTCCCTGTTGTTTCTTTCTTCAGGAAACAGTAGCACTATGTAGAGAATAAAAGCAATCAAAGGCTTGAAAAATTGAATTTGCTAAGATGTGTGCTTATGGTATTCATGAAAGAAAAATGTCAGGGAGAATAGAGGTCCTTGGAGGCAGCTATTTATGACTAAAGGATATGAATGATCACAGACAAGATCTGGTTGGGAATCAAGGTTTTGAGAAAATGCTGAAGGGATAGAGGTGTAAGAAGAGAACAAATTTAAGTTTTCAGGATTAGCTAGAAGACGGGACTCTGCTGGAAGTCTGGGAGGAGTGATTACTGCAGTCTTGCTTTCCATCCCTCACTTTCTTATTTTAGGCCTAGCGGCTTCATGATTTTTAATTATTCTAGATAGCTGGATGAAAAAGGCTCACTTACAATTTCCAGTTACCTCTTGGAGAGATTTCAAATGCAATTATACCATTCAAACACAGGCTTTTGCATAACTCCAACCTACAAGTTGGAAGCTCTTCCTGTGGTGCAGTATATGCTCCTGAACACAGTAGATTATATCAGTAAAAGACTAGAGTTCATATTGGTCAAAGAAGTGCTCAGAAAACTCATAGAAGGGACCCATGAATAATAATGAATCACTTAATTATTTTATTGAGTACTGTAATATATCTTGTGGTGCAATATATAACCTTCTGGGGTGTAAGCCAATCTTTGTAGTTGACATCAGATCTATATTTCCATGGGTTTATGGAGGGCAAACATGGATCAAACCTATTTGTTTTCATTAATATTTAGGCAATTCTGTTAATATAGAACTCTTCATATTGGAGATTGAGATGAAGGAAGATGTTGTATAAATATGTATGTCATATATATATGGGGCATTGATGACTTTTTCTTAATTGTCTTACAAAGATGTTTGTTTCAATGGAGTTTCAATTCCAATGTGCTTCAAGTCTGCACTCTTGGCTTGATGACTAACAACAGAAGATGGTTCTGACTCTGTCAAATGATTTTTGCTAAAGTACTTCACCTCCAGAAGCTATCCATATGGGAAGTGACTGGTTGTAAAGGGTTTTCCTTTCCCTGAAGCAGTATATGAAGCCAAGTGTATTTTCAGCAGAGGTATGAAGCAGATAAAAACTATGGAATGGTTTATTTTCCCTTTATCATATACAAAATCCTTGCACTTTGGGGAACAGCATTTCAGCTCAGGCAAATCTTTTTATTTTTTATTTTTTACTCTAGCTCTTAATGCACAAGAAAAAGTGAAAGAGGAGAGATGTCTGAAAACTATTTCCAAACTTTGTTCAAAGCTAGTCCTACTTCTTTCAAACCTGTGTGGCCCATTCCACACAGCATACTTCAAAGAGTTCTAAAATTTTGAAAATTATAGCCTGTATTTGTACATTGTCTTGAGAATCCTGCCCATCAAGAATAACATCTGGAGCAGAGGAAGATACTGCATTAGTACATGATCTTTATTAATATACCAGCCAGCATGGGCTACGTGGTGTTCGTAAATACGCTGGAAAGTTTAGTTCCTATGTCTAATAGTTTATAATTGAAGATTAAATCCTTTTTATAGGGGTCTAAAGTATGTTCTCAAATCCATATTTAGGGAGAATAAGATATTTCGCATTCCTCAAAAAAGTCGGCAATTTATTTAAGTACTTAGATTTAAATTTGGGATCTTAATTTCAGGCACCTATTAAATAAATAAAAACCCACAAACACCTCCCTGCCAGAACAAAAAAAAAAAGTTTGGATTATGGAAAGTGAGTATTAGGGTGACAATCTCTACTGAAAAGTGTTCCCCTAACAGGACCACGGTGGCAGAAAGTGGTGGCATGGGCCACAGTGGCAAAGAACTGGGGAATATGAGATGCAACTTAGGCACTAGATTAGAGTTCACTTAGAATTGATGTAAAATGAACCGTGGTGTTCCTCCAGCATATCCATTCTGCTGGGGACTGGAAGTAGCTAAGCTAAAGAAGAGATGCTGATGCTGTAACTAATGCATAAGGGTCAAGGCAAGTAAGAATGGCATCAACCAGTGATTGGGACAATAATGTATTTCCTTTAGACTATCCCTTTGCATGCTGGAGAAATTTGTACATTCCAGACCTCTGGGCTCAACTAATATTAATGGGCTAGTCTGGATCAGCTGGAATATTTTATGTGTAATCTATAACATAATTTGATCTATAGGCTTAAGTACTTTATGAAATGATTTGAAAGGTGGTATGTGCAAGTAATGACTATGATGAAAAAGCTTTCAGTAAAATAATAAGCTTTTTTAAGAAATTATCTTAATAAGTAAGTACAAAAGCTCCAGACAATTTAGAACAATGTTTTTAGTTAAAATGTTCTTTAAGAAAGGAATAAATGCCCTTGCTGTGAAAAATATGTGATATATTCCTCAAAAACATGAGAAATTACATCAAGATGGAAATCTTGATGGCTCAGTACTGTTTTGTATAGGTCTTCAAATAGTACTTGATGGTAGGGGTTACTTTCAAACCACCAATGATAATGTGAAAACTTGACAAAGACATTATTATAAAAACAAATACACTTGAAATGTCTTTAAAAAACTTCACTTTGAAGGGAAAGTAAGTGAAACTGTTTTTTCCTTGATAAATTCACATCTTCCTATTGGTTAACTATGAAGAAAAATAGCACAGAAAAACATGGTGGCACATATACTGTTCTTCACTAAGGATTTAACAGTCAAAATGAGGAGAGCAAAAATATAAGAAAAATACACTATGAAAGTCAAACACCAGAATATAGGCCAGAGCTGGGAAAATATGTAAGTGTAGAGTTTTTGAATCACTTATAATGGCTTCTGTTTACTGGGTTCATAGCTTCTTTCTTTAAATTACAAAAGATAATTACAGAAAATTATGTCAACAGTGACACATTCATAGGCTTAAAATACTAAATGGTCAGCAGGATTTTCACTTACGCCTACTTTCATAAATAGCTCTTGATTTCTCATACAGCTCATATGGGTCAGGTTTTCTTGGATCAAAGGCCTCTGTTGAATCAGGAAATGAACTCCTGTGAAGAGCAGGTGGATAGGGAATATTCTGTGGCATAGCTGGAGCAGACACACTTGTTTGAGGGCTGCCTTGATTCTCCCATCGTTCCATCATCTGGAATAAAAACATATGGAGAATAAAGATGAAGGTTTGCAAAAACTGTGACTTCCACAATGAGACAAAGCCCTTAACAGAGAAGGGCCTGACTGGGTAGCAACTGAATCATCTTAATGCTGTATCTCCTGAGAATGCATGAAAATAGCTACCTGCCCAGGGGAAGTAGATTACTGCAACTGTGAGCAGAATTTACAGCTTCAACTGAAAATTAAAAAAAACCAACCCAAACCAAAACAAAAAGAAAATAAAAACCAAAGAGAAAACTATTACAGCAGGTACTTGAGCATCTAGTGTTCAGTGCTAAAATACAGAACACAGTGAGAAAAAGTGAGAATTAGTTTGATAGAGTCTTTTTCATTTCTTACTGTTTCTTACTGTTCCTTTCGTATATCAAAAACTAAATTGGCATCATCCAACCAAGTTTCTAAGCACAGGATAAAGCTTTCAACTCTTCCAGACCATTTACAGGAAAGAAGTACACAGCAGTGTATTGTCTGTGCATGAAAGACACCTCAATCCATGCTTTTTCTAAGACTGTCTTCAGCAGTCTCACAAGTACATCAAGCCTGAAGATATGAAAGGCTGTGCAAAAGAAGGCTTGAGGATCTGCATTTTTATTTTTGAAGAAGTTGTCTACTAATTAAAATGCATTAGCAAACTTATTTGAAGAGGGTAAGTTAAACAACACACAAATTTTTATCCCAGGAAATGAGTATTTGACTTCTCTTGAGGACAAGGATGGTAAAGCCTCCTGAACAGTGTGTTCTAACACATAATCCAACAATGTTAATTACACAAAAAATGCCTCTTTGAAACAAACTGAACTGTAACAAAATTCCACTGATGTCTATTGTTGTATCAGCAGAGCCTTATCAAAGATGATTGCAGGTTTATAGCAAGCTTGGTCTACAAATTCTGTGATTATCATCAGTCTTTAGCTCCTTGGTTTCAGAAGCTGTTTGGCTCAGCAGGTAGGCTTTGCTCTCTATTCTGATGATTAACTGCATCAGAATAATTCATGTGAGGACTACAGATGTTTAACATGCTGAGTAAGTGTAATGCCGCATATCCCAGATGAACTGACCTTCTTAGGTTCATACTTAAGAATGAACAGATTATGGATATTGGCCATTTTAAATTGCTGAGGACCTCATTCTTTTACAGAGCAGTGTTATAATTACAGATGTGCTTCTGTCAGAGTTTCAGCAGTAAGTAGGGCTGGTTCATTTGGAACAATGAAGAAAAGAAATATCCAGGTACCTCAGTCAATCACAGGATGACTCTCACACACTAGTAAGTCTTGGATGTGATATTTAAGTTGAGAAATGAAAGTATTAGTCTGTTAAGTACTAATTATGAAGATATGGAACACTGTATTCAATACTTGCTATGTTGTTCAAGGAAGACACATTTATTTTCAGCGAGGTACAAAAGATGCAACTAGGATTTGATATGAGGGCACTATAGGTATGTAGATCCTGTGCAATACAGTGACATATGGAAATACCTGAGTTGCCACTGAAATAGCTTAGGTACAGGAAAGTACCTTGGGTACCTTCAGGTACCCTTTATACCAAGATAAATTTATCCTCTATTTTGTGTAAATTAGCCTCTGTGGTAAGTTACATGAATGTCAGAGTACTACTTCTGATAGCCCTTAAGAAATTATGTCTGGTATGTATAAGCATATACTCAGTATATAATTGCATTATGGAAATGTAAATTCAAAGGTCTGCAGAAACAAAACTGATTATGACCCCGATGTCTAAACAGGAAAGGAGAACTGGGCTCAATTCAAGTTCCTTATGATCATGGAAATTACTGGAGAAATATGTTTGGGGTTTACCTTCAGTTAAGAACCAAAAACACCACAATACAAGTCACTGAAATCAAACTATCTATCTTACTGCTATGGAATAGAAAGACATGTGGAGCCCTATATAGAAGGGCCTATATAGAAGTGTATATAGAAGTGAAAGTTTCCTGATTTCTTGGACAGTGTTGGCAAAATAGATCATTTACCTCTTTCAAAATGTGAAACTGAATAAAATTAAAATATTTTAAAAAAGATTTTAAAATGAGAAAGGAAAATATAATTTTTGATGACCAAACTTTTCCCTGGAGAAAGGACAGGAGACTTCAGATTAGTTGGCAAAACCCTGCTGGGTCCCATATGCCTAAGTCTTGCTTGCTGGTTAGTTTTATATCTTCGAGTGTGAAGTTGAAAACTGAGCAAAACATTCTTAGTTGCAGGTAATACTGCTAACATAACTAGTTACACAAGCAGATAAACAAGGGGAATTATATCTCCCAAACCCATATCAGCTAGTTAAATAGTCACATAGTGTTCCGTGAGTTATCATAATGTCAGCTCACAGATGAAGACACTCTTGGAAAAGAGGCATAGCATTGAGTGCAGGGCATCAAATAAAGTTGGGGTAATGGTTTGGTGACATTGCTCACAGTCATTTTGTACTAATCATATTATATATGATATACATATATAATATATGGACTCTGTACATAGGAACCACAGGAAATATCTGTCAGCCCAGGTTACTCTGTCTTTGCTGTTACACAGCTACAGGTCTGTGCTGTGGTGCTGGGGAGAATTTCTAAACCTCCTGTGCTGGCCTTACTGCTTCAGACTGTCTGCAGATACTTAATGCTGCAGGGGCACTTGGTTTCAATCTTATCTTCATGTCTTGGACACTACAAATTCATGTCAGACTATTCCTCTAGATAAAAATGGTGACAGATAGAAAAATGTACATGACCTTAACTTGGTTAATCATTTGTAAAATCTCTTTCTGACAGTACCCTAAAATAGAGTAGCTGTGAAGAGTTAGCCTGCATTCATGTACAGTACCTTCATACAATGGTGTTATATTATTCTGTGATCCCTGGTTTCCTCAGACCATGCAGAAAAACTGCATCACTTAGGTTGTTTCTCTAGATTCTGATTATTGGCAAGTGCTACTCAAGCATGAACTACTATACTGTTTATATAACAAAACTGTGCAGACAAAAATCAATAATATGCTGATATTTATGTATTTGACGTGTACATAAAGAAGCTAAGTATGGACAATAGGAGGTCTTTGAAAGTGGATCTTTAACAAGTAAGCTCCAAGTTCTCTATTTTCTCACCTTTTACTGAAGATTAAAAGTTGAATGCCCCAGTCAGACAGGAACTGTGAACTGGTGAGAACAAGTTAGCCCTCAATAGTCTGATTTACTTTCACAAATGTCCTGCTACATAGATGAATAAAGCAACTTATGCAATACTTATTCCAATGTATTGCATACATCCCCTAGGCTTTTATATCAAAAGCACCACAACCTGAAGTAGTCTGATGGAGTTACATCAGCTGATTAATTAAGTGCTATTTGTATTTGACAGGCTACAAAAATTATTTTGGTATACATTAAGCATGCCATGATCCAATATGAGAGTATGTGAAGTTGTTCAGATTCAACATACTTCCCCTGCCTGCCCTTCAATAAGAAAGCTGTAAGTCCTACAAAAGACATTGCTATTGTTATTCCTATCGTTCTTAGAAGCCTTCAGGCACAGTCAGATCTCTATTCCCTCTACACACCTCTTATAAGTGTTAAGCACTCTTTAAGGTCTGTACAATCTCAATAAAAAAGCCAAATTAAAAAAACAAACAACAAAACCAAACAAAACCCCATAAAAATAAAACAAACCAGACAACCAAAAATAGCCTGTGATTTCTTTTTATACTGTGAATGTTGTCACAACCTCAAAAAATTATATAATGTGGTGTCAACAGAATTTATACAATCGTTACTTGCAGTCTTACATGAGGAAAAGTATTTATACCTCGTGTTTTAATGCCAAAATCATAGAAACACAGAAAAGTTGACTAGAAGGCACCTCAGTAAGTTATCTAGTCCAAGCTCTTGACTATTTGCACCTCTAGATCTACTGTGCAAGAAAGAATAGCAATAACTTAGAGGATGTTAAACTCAAGCCACTTGTAAACCATAAAAAGTGCAAGTTGTTAATTTAAAAGAATTTGCAAACTTCTGCTGCCTTCTCCTCCAGACCCCTTATTCTTAAGCCACTCCATTTCTGGTTCTTGACACCCTTCTTAACATTGAGGTGTTCCTTTCTCCAGACCGCTGCTGGCAGACTCCAAGGCAACAGACCTTCCGAGCTTACCAGTGAGGCCACCCCTGACTCTGTGTCACAGTGTCACTGCTGAGAAGCGTCTCATGAGCTGGTAACAGGAGGGTTAGATGAAAGTCTACAGAAATTTGCCTTGAATGACTGTCATCTTACGAACTGAATGCGTATAATTTTGAAAGGGAACTTACAGGCTTTGGAGTTTTCCATGGAGAAAAGAAACCTGAAATAAACAAAAAATAATGTTAGCAGCTTTTTCTGGTGCATAAAGAGTGGAGGCTAAGTGGTGCCTATGCTTCCATTCTCATTCAGGTCTGCAGATAATATTGATAGATATGAAAATTCTCTACACACAAGGGGTGAAAACACAAAACACAAGGGATAATTTCTAAGAAAAAATACATAGAAATATATATATATATACACACACATACATATATATATATATATATGCAAGTGGAGCTATTGAGATCATTGCCATACTTTACAAACAGCATGGGATTAGGTTGAAATTAAAAGAACTAAGCAAAAGGACTTCCAAATGTCTTGCTGGACATTGGATAAGACACCAAATGACCTGGTATTGATGTGTCAAATGCAGTCGCACCTTTAGGAAGAAGCATTCAGAACATCCCATCAACAAAACCTAATAATACAAGAGATTTTTTTAGAAGAAAAGCCTGGAGAAAAATAACTGTTTCATCAGTCTAGATAAAGTGGCCAAGTCTTGGGAGGATTACTTGTTTTAATACTGTCCTGGTTTTTTGTCATAGTTAGCAAATAGTCAGACCTGGCTACCTCTTTTACACAAGTAGTTATCTCCTTTTCCTTAGTTATTGACTGACTGATAACTTGCTTCGGTGACTTCCCTGAATTTTAACTATCGTAGCTTATAAATGTTTAAAACTCTGGATATGTCTTTTTCATAAAATGAGGTAATTTGAAACACATATTGTAAACACTGTTTTTATCTTATGCAGCATAACATTAAAAACCTTATAAGTATGAAATAAAAACAAGCATTTCAATGGATATTGGAACACACTTTTTAAAATACCAGCTTTCAGCATATCTTTCATTAAAAAACTCATTCTCAGTTTAATAGCAGGTTAAAAAAAACCTCAGTGGATCTTCCTAGGTAAGATTAAAAGCTAATGAGAAAGTTCATTTGTTTTGTCAGAAACAGAAATTGGGTTTAAACTGAGATATCTAATAGGAAGACTGCTCTTTCACTCAAAAAATGAATTCAGCTGGAAGAGTAGTACTGACTTTATTTTTCTAAGGTGAGTTTAGAAAGAAAATTAAAATCATGAGAGCGCTAGAGTAATATTTTGCTACAGACAAATCATAACAGGAATTTTATTTGTACACAGTATTTAAGGTTCCTAGAATTCTGTGGTAATGAGGTAATTTTTTCTGCCACGATACCTAATTCATTTCAACTGAAATATCTTGCAGTGTAAAAGCACTTGAGCCACTCGTAGTGAAACACTGGCTGTTCAGTAATCCTGATTTATAGGCTGCTAGTGCTTTTAAAACAGAAAAAAGTATATTGGAAAAAGTAATCCTGGGGAAGTTTATGTTTACTGACTCTAAATGCCTGGATAAAAACTGCTGTATTAACAAGTAGACAGATTACTTTCCATCTGGAAATTCAAGCTGAGGTAACAGGCATCCTTGATAGGCCTGGCTACATCACTTTCAGTATTAAAGATTCTGTAGCAGAAACTTATGTAACAACTTATTGGATGGCAGATGGCTACCTTTTTATTATCTGTTATATTTCTATACAGCTAATAAGAGTGAAATCTAAAAAGTACTTTTCCTTTCAGAGCTAAATATAAGACTTGAGGCTTGCCCAAATCAATTTACTACCCTGATTTGTTGTTCAGAAAATATTGCTAGATGCAACACTCTCTACCACTGGTACTGGTGCACTGCCCATAACTTCTTGTCAGAAAAAATTACTACCAGTTAAACTGAAAGGTCATTTTTTACCCATTTATTTACTATCTCCATCTAAAACCAGGCTATGCTGGAGTTATCAGAAAAAATTTACTATCAATTAAAAATACAATAAGTATTTATAAATCAAATAAAAATGACATATACATCAAGTGAAGATTTTTTTTTAAAATCCTCAATTAAAAAGAATTCAATTATTCCCCTAAACGAAGAGAATGTGGACTTATATGTAGCTTGGAGGTTATGGGCACAAACTGCAACATACAAATGACAACATCTACACTCAAAACAAATAAAAAGCAATATTTATTCACACAGCATGAAATTATGTTGAAAAAACTAACATATATAGGATGCCAGAGAAGTAAAAGATCCAAAGAAAGATTTAAAAAAAAAAATTGGAGATCCATATGTGTACAAAAGCATGTTACAGCAGCAAAAATCTCTAAAGGTAACAAACCTTGGAAAGAATATTAAAATCCATTCTTCAGATTTAAATTCAGCTGTTACACCTAGACCTCATGTAAGATGAGATAGTCTCTCACCTCTGTCAAAGACTAGGTGTTAGGTTAAACAGGTGAAGGCCTAGTTTCATACAGCAAACCATACGTTATATCTTTCATGTATTTCTTGGAGATTTTAATATTGCTTCACGTAAGATCTGCATTCTCAGCTGAAATAAACATCCTTTTTCCCAGTATAAACAAAACGGGCTTTTACAGAATATATGGCATTATCAGTTATTCAACATGAGACTGATTATGGATAATTGTTGTGTTTCAAACGTCCAGAATTATCACTGGTATTTAAGCACATGCAACCATTGCTACAAATTCATGAATTCAAGAGTATATAATGCATCTGTAGCACATTGTAAGTGTAACAGAAACTCCGCACGAAGAGGCATAAAAGCAAAATGCACTTTCCTGTGTAAACCGCACGCACCCTTCTAACTTTCACTTTTAAACAGTGCTCTGCATAAGTATGGGACCAAATCCTCTACATGAAGAAAGTTAAGGCTTAAAATTATTAAGAATGTCTCTTAATAATGTGTATTCAGTGCATACTCAACAGCGTTAGCCTTCTGCAGCCACTTCTACAGCTGGCAGTGAGAAGCAGTGGACTTTCACTTAGTTTGACCCCACTTCACAACACCTCATGTTCCCTTGACTTCCTGGTGCTCCTTACACACTGTATTTCCCACCAGAGACAGTGGGATTCCACATGAATGACAGCTGTCACCAGATTGGCATCAATTCATATACTGATACTGATTTATCAACAGGACTGAAATTTGTTCTCCAAAGTGCAGCTTTCAACTGTTGAGTACTAATACAGTACTAGTGCTGCTCAGCCTTCTAATCAACTCTCATCTAATTAGATACATATACTGGATAAGGTCTGACAACCTCATCCCACTTCCACATTTCAACTTCTCCCTCCCCAGCCTCCCAAACCCCTACCGTCCAACTTCCTATGCCTTCTACAGAAGAGTACAGAGTATCTATAGAGTATCTTTCAGATACTCTATCTGAAAATATTATATACATATAAACACTCCTCACCTCCATATCCACATACACTTTTAAAATCTGAAATAATAATAGTCAGCTTAGATCCACCTATAAATCCTTCATGCAGCCTGTTCTTACCATGAGCGGCTTTTGGGTCACCCATGTGCCTGATGGCTATCCCTTCTTGTAGCAGCTTCACTACATAAGCTCTAGCCCACTTTCTGAAGACTCCTGTATCTTCCTACTAGTTTTAAATAATTCTTTATTTAATTATTCTTTCCTTGTAAAGACAGTCAGTACAGGCCTGCATTAGTTTTGGAAAGGAGAGTGGGGTTACTGGCTTGCATTAAAGAGCAACCACCACCATTCAGCCACATGCTAGCAGAAAAACACTGTGGCAACATGTAAGCATGTGAGATAACATACATAACCTCATCTACTTCTGCAAAATTAGTGTTTCCCCAATATAATTACTTCTTATTCAGTGTTGGCCATTTAAACTGTAATAAGGTACAGCCAACACATATTGAAATTTTAATTGTTTAATTTTAAATAGATAAGCTGAGGTACAGTAGCAATCATGTTTTCTAAAAATCAGAATTACATTTCCTCATAAACTAGTACTAGAAAACTTATTTTTTACATTGCATTGTAATTTGTATTTACCACCTTCCAAAATGAGCTTCCCTGGAAATCAGAGCTGTGATGGTTTCTGTGTTGTGACTTTACTAAAAATCACTGAGAACCAAAAAAAGATTTTGGATTCAAATATATTAGAGTGAAAAAAACTTTTTTTCCCCAGATCAAGGCAAATTCCAGCTCCATTTTATTGTACTTCTCCTTTTTGATGAAGATATCCTGTAACAAAAGACAAATCACATCACACTCATTGTATCTATTCCTTCTTATATCCAAATTTAAGTATGCTTTTGTTGTAAAATATGTTTACAGATATCATGTGCCTTACACTTTATCCAGGATTTGTTGTTGAAAAGTTCAGTTTTCTAAAAGTAACGCATCAAACAGGACTTAGAGTATTTGCAAGAGAGTCTTGATTTGTTTCCCCCTTTTTTTTTCCCAGTAAAAATCCTGAATTTGGCATATTCCATAATGTCAGGAATATAAAAGCAGCCTTTGATTATTAGTCTGCTGCCACATGGATGCTTTTTGCTACAGTTCCATCTTCATTATTCTCACTATTTTGTATTGATTACTGCAAAAGTTCTTCACACTTTGCAAAATCATAAGCAACTAATGTAGCTATTGCTAAATCTTAGAACTTTTAATGATGTTCACCTCTGTGGCAGATGTGTATGTATAATTAAACTGAAGCCTGGGAACAGTTTGATTTCTGCAGTGATGGCATGTGGTAGTGCTGCAGGGAGGAACTCAATAGCATCAAAGATAAAGCTTTCTAATCTAAAGCATGTTCAGGGCAAGTCAACATCCCTCCACACCACTTGTCGCACTTGCACTTTTAATGGGTGAAAGCTCATTAGCTTCGCTTGGCTTCTTGGTTTTTTGTTTGTTTGTTTTGTGTTTGTTTGTTTGGGTTTTTTTTGGTTTTTCTGTGCTTTAGTATCCTTGTTGCATATGTCTTCCTGAGTAAAGCTGTCCTAAGCACTGCACAGACCCTTCTCCTTCCTAAATGCTTGGAAGTCACAGAACAGATGGCGGACGATTACTCTCAGAGCATTAACTGACTCCACAGACACCTTATCAACATCCATGTGACAACACTTCA